TTTTTAAAGGTATATTAGTCGAGCGTTTTATGATGTACAGTACTTCACGTTCAGCAATTATTCAGCAAGGTACTAGGATCCCATTGACATTAAAAGCAGAACAGATGGTCAAAGGCTGGACTTCCAGAGTTGCTTGTCAATTGAGTTCGCCTGCCTCTGATGGGAACTGAGTTTGTCACTTCTTAACCAGGCTACAAGGCAAAGAATTCCACTACTTTTGAGTTTTCAATGCCAATAACATTCTTTTCTTTCTTCTTTTTTCTTTCTTTTTGCTCCTCAACTTTGCTACCCTCTCCTCCTCTTCCATCTTCTGAGGACATTTGAATCTTTTTGCCCTCCTCTGGGGGTAGCTCTACGTTGCTGGCATGCTTCACTATCGCACTATTAGGCTGTTGCTTAATAGCAATCCTTGGCAATGAGCGATGGCAGTCTACTCAAGGAACTTCACGTCTGAGTCTGCTCCTTAACTCGCCAGATGTCCAAGTACGTATACACACTAGCGTTCACTAGCAGGGGACTCTAGACAGCAAACAGAGGGAGAATTCTTGCTAAGTTTCCACTGCCTAATCCAAGGGGCTTTAGACCAACTGTAACGCCTCACCTGTGGCGCCCAGCTGATTTCAGCTAAGCCAGGGCAGGATTCAGACCTGTGACTTTGCTGGTCTGACTATCATTTTTGTTGGTCTTAAAAACAAACACAAATTTTAGTAGAAGAGTTTTCTGCTCCCAGTGCGTGGTCTCCATTCACAATGCCATAATGCCATAACAGTAGGAGTTTAATAGAAGAATCTACCGCTAGGCGCAGGCAGCCAGCAGTTACAAAGCACGATAGAAAAGGGTGACAAAAGCCAGCAATGCTCAGAAACCTGCAAAATAATTTTTCATGTACGCTAGTCATCAAGTTTTCCAACTACATCTCTGCAATCTTCGACACACTTCGTTTACCCGTGCTGGAAAGTCACAGAGGAGTTGCCAAACCACTGACCCAAGTCCTCATCCATCAAGTTGAATCCTACACACAATTGTAGGACAAGAATCCTATTTTGTGCATGTTTATCTTCTCCGTATCCACAATTATTTCCACTGTAGGCCATTGAGTGCTCTTTTATGAATTTGATACAATTTAAATGCTGTAAGAATCACAGTATGTGAGGTAACAGTAAAAATGTTAATTCTGCTTCATTTAAAATCACTGCTCCAATATTTTAACTGGAGTCCCAGTGACTTTTAACTATTCATGTTAACCAGCTGTCTTTTACATTCTGCAATCGCAATGCTTAAGGTTTGCAAGGAGCATGATGTTTTGAGGAAGTACAAAATAAGCAGGAACAAGGGAAATAACCAATATACAGCAAAGATTGAAAATCAAAATCTGCGAACAAACTGCCTTAGATGCAGATCTGTTGCAGATCAAGCATGAGATGCTTCCATGTTTCAATGAGGGTATCAGAGGATATGGAGAAAGAGCAGGGATTACAATAGAAGGTTTCATTAGACACGCAAACATTTGGGCTGAAATTACTCTATTTATATAGCATTCTAGAGAGTCCAGTATTTAGCAAATTCTTAAATACAGCCTTTAACTTTGAAGCCGGTTTTCTGTAAATTCTTTTAAGAACTAAAGAAAACTGACTTCAAAGTTAATCCCATTCAGCTCCACCACAGGAGGGCAACTTGGCCTATGCTCTCCATCCTCCTGCAGCAGCACAATGTATGTACACTGGGAGCAGAGGAGTGGGGAAGAGGCCAAACCAGTATCGCTCAATTGAACCCCCCACCATTGCTTATTGTCTCAGCCACCATATTCCTCCAACGTGCAAAATCTTATTCAATAATAATAATAATCATCCTTGCTCCTTGCATTTAATATAGAGCCATATCACGTCTTCAAGATGTCTCAAAGCGCTTCACAGAATATATACTGTAAAGTGAATTGGCTGTATATTTTGTGGGTGAAATGCAGTACCAATTGCGCACAGCAGTATCCCACAAACAGTTGTGGATTGAGTGACAAAATTATTTTTTTTTGAATGAAAGCATTGTTCACACAACTAAACACCAGGTAGAATACTCCATATATATATTATACATATATTTCAACCTTTAAATAATATTTTGTGTTACATAATAAATGTTCCTCTTTGCTCACATTTTGACACAACTTATTTTTGAATAACAGCAAGTGGATTAGATATGAGAAAAGTTTTATCTTGCTTCTAAATGGCACCTGGGCCTCTTATCTCTGTAATTTTACCGACTGTAATGTAAGTGCTTCAAGATGCTACCCAGTGTGAAGGGCGCTTTATAAATGCAAATTGTTAGTGTTGAATTTCTTACAACTTGTTGAATGGGACCGAGCAAGACTGACTGTTGAACTGCGCTCGTGCTGTGAGGTGCAAATTCATCCTTTGATTGACAAACAAGTAGCATCAGTGTTTCTGCTGATAATTCGACTTTATCACCAGGTTCAGTTGTAATCTTTTGACTGTTCTGCCATCTCTTTGTGCTCAGCATTTTTTATGAAAGGTGATCAAAAATAATTTTGATCTAAATGTCTCCTCAAGGCTGGTTATTGTGTTTGAAAAATATTCTTCAGGCTGGAATCTCACAAGAGCACAAGATTGGTTTCGATGAAGAACGTCCTTGGGTTCATCTGATCTCATCCTTCCAGAATCCCCACTCTACCATACCCCTGTCACAGAATCAAGCTGTTTTTGAAACAAGTCCAGTGCCCTGGGCTAAACCAACTTACTGGCAACCTGTTCTTGTCGTTAATTACCCTCAGTGCAACGAACATCTGTCCTGAAATTGCCCTTTACAAATCTAAACCTTTGTCCTTTTGTTCTACTTTTGAAGCGCTTTGAGAAGTCTCATGATAAGGATGCATCTTAAAGGATTGAACTGGGTTTACTTTTTCATCCTACTTTCTCTAAACTACTTTTGCATTGCAATTACCCATGGCTCTGGGACATTTCCCACGGTTACACACTCTCTTGTATTTGTTAACTGATGTGGGGGTTTTTTATGGGGTAAAACATTCATTTTTTACAAAAGTATTCTGGAGATGAGAGTGGTGAAAGTGTTGAAATTAGTTTTGAATCAAGCCTTACTTATTACACATAAGCAATAATGTGTTGATCATCAGAAAACCTATATTGCATCAAAGTTATTATTGCTTACCTGTCTTCTATATTTTAAAAACATAACATATTAATGCTTTGTATTCGTTTTATCTCATACATCTCATATCTCAAGTAGGATATCACTTCAAAGGAAGTGCATATTCTACTTGGCACCATAACACAATAATCAATGGCCTTATGAGGTAACACAGATCACGTGGAGAAAAGCTAGATGATAGTTTTCTATACTCCGAATGCAACTCCTTCCTTTTATCCGATGCTCCTTCCAGCAGCCCAGCCAAGAATTAGTGTCACATCCTGGAATGCGCTCTTGTGGATAAAATATGGGAACATAAGAGGGCAGATAGAAAAAAACCTGTCTCTTGCCCTGGGCAGGAGACTGCTTGCCATCCATGATGCACTCGCTCACTCACTTGCCTGAGCAGCTCACTGCCTGCGCATTCACCTCCAGCTGGTGACTGGTGACAACTGACAACTAGCATCTTGATGTCTTTATCATTATTAATTTCCATCCATATTGGTCCTGCCATCATCCCTCCTGTAAGATATATGCTTCTTGTAGATGTTATAGAAGCATTTCTGTTCATCTGTCGCTGTGATCACGTTTGTGTGATGCCAATAGTTTCACCTTCTTTCGCTGGTTACATATGGTTCTAATTCAAACCATTCCTTTCTAATGCTTGTTGAAACAACAAGAAAGTTTAACCTTCTCCTTCAGCACCTTCTTACCGTTATTTGAACTTGCTATTATATTTGTGTTCCCTTCTTTACTGCAACCTCATGCACCTTCCCAGCGCCTTGGGACGTCCTCCCGATGTGAAAAGCCCTATACGAATGTCATTTTGGTGTGGTTGTTGTTGTCAAGTCTTCAAGACGTCTCAAAGCTTTTCACAGAATATGCTGTAAAGTGAATTGACTGTATATTTTGTGGGCGAAACACGGTAGCCAATTGCACACAGCAGTGTCCCACAAACAGTCGTAGACTAAAAAAAATAATAAATGGGTCATTTTCAATCCACGACTGTTTGTGGGACACTGCTGTGCACAATTGGCTGCCGTGTTTCGCCCACAAATATACGGTCAATTCACTTTACAGTATATTCTGTGAAGTGCTTTGAAATGTCTAGAAAACGTGGAAAGCGCTATATCAAATGCAAGGATTATTATTATTATTATAAGAGACCAAATTATTATTTTTTTTCTATTTTTCTGAAGGGTTTAATATCCCTGGAAAAGCGATCCACAAATCGACTAACAACCAGTTCCTACTTACTGTTAGGTAAACAGAGATGTGTATCCCAGAAAAACTTCTTACATATATGGTAATTCATACATAATAATAATAATCCTTGCATTTGATATAGCGCTTTTCACGTCTTCTAGACGTCTCAAAGTGCTTTACAGAATATACTGTGAATTGAATTGACGGTATATTTGTGAACGAAACATGGGCTAAGTATACTGTATTTAGCTTTACAACTTGACGTCAGGCAGGTATAGAGCAGACCAACAAAGATTTCAATTCTTAAATATAATATTTTCCACATCAATTTCATGATAAGGAGTGTTTCATATACCATTGCTCATCTTAATGTGAATAATTGCACTGGATCGTCTTTAAAAATATTTTTCATCTCAAGGGAGTTTTATTGGAAAAGTGAGTTACAAGTTCCAGGAATCATTCCTACGTAATCGTATCTGACTCAATAAATACTCAAGTTTACGAGAAATATTGTGCCTGTATCAAATTCACACAGTTGAGCAAAATAAAATTTTTTATGACACCTGTTTCAGATTTTACTCAAAGACAATAGGGAATCTTAAAACAATGATGAATTTAGGCTGCGCTTCACTGACCTTGTACAAATATTCTGTCCCAGTAGATTGTCCCCACTTGATTTCCACAAAGAAACACCAAATTGGATAGAAAGAGAAGAGCTGTGGCAATACCAGCAAAGAGTGCATGTGCCCGGCGTTGCATCCTAGCTGACAAACATCTCTCCTTAAAGAGAACAAAAGAGTGAGCCATTAATACACTGTATCAAAGCTAGTTTATATCATACCTTCCACTCCACCCACTCCACGACAAATACCTCCTCCCTCCCCTCACTCTTCCTCTCTACCCCCGCTCCCCTACCAAGTTGTCTGGGCACCTCGGTGTTATATTTTCGGCCACAAAATAAACAGTCAATTCACTTTACAGTATATTAAAGTATATTCTGTGAAGCGCTTTGAGACGTTATAAGGTACTATATGAAATGCAAGAATTTTTTTTATTATATTACACAGGACACAAATTGTCACCAAGAGAAAGAGGAAGCCCAAGACTCAATATCAGTCTACAGTGCAAACATCCATGGAGTAAGTGACCAATTTTATTTGGGGGATTATTGGTCAGAACTCCATTCTCTTTTCGAACAGTGTTATGGTATCTTTAACGTCCATCTGAACAGGCAGACGGGATCTCTTTTTAACATTCAATCTGAAGGATAGTACTTCCGACATGAGTCTTGAACCTACAACCTTCTGATTCAGAAATACGAGTCCTACCACTGCACCACATATTATTAAAAAGGCTGAATCTAGGCCGATAGATAATAGGGGGGGAGTTTCCCCATTTTCTAGTAAGATTTACAGAAGAGGAGTGCACAGGCCAGTGAATGCTAAGCATTTTCTGAAACATGGGCCAAACTTAAAAAACTTTAAAAAAAATTGCAGATTATCTCCTGTTAAATACACAGAGCTGCAAGTTTCTACAATGTGTTTTTTTTTAGGCCACATTACCCATATTTTCCATTCAGACAGCACAAACAAGACGACAAGTTGTATTGGGTGGAATGACAAACCACTATCTGTGCATCTACACTCCCCCACTCACTGCGCGTGCACACACACGGCCATAAAATGACTGGAAAAATGTGGTTAAAAAATTCTGAAACATCCATAAACGCAGAGTGGGGTTTAGGGTTCTTTTTCTTATTTCCAACACAAAATGTGTACTATAAATAGAATATATGCTAACATCTGGTGGTTTCCATTGAATATTCAGATCATATCCAAAATAAACCAGTCATATTTCAGCCGACAGCTCATTCCAGTCTCTGGTGCCCACGATTTTATTCAGTCTAGCCAGTGGAGATTGGCAGGTTATTTGCCATTTGCCACTTGCAGCTCTTGACCTGCACCCTCTGTACCCACAAGCTTGTACTTGCAGAATATCTTGAAGAAAACCATATTTTGGTGGAAAATATCCAAAACGTTCATAAGATTTGCAACAATCTGATAAAGCCACTGGGGTTTAAGATAGCTCCAGCGGCAGCAGGAACTGCAAGGACACAACCTTTTGCATCATGTCCAAAGCTGGAATTTGAGTGTTTGTTTGACCGTGAAATTAATCTGATCGAGCAGTCATCACTATGACGCTGCACACTACTCGGCTCAGGCGGGACTCAGTGTCCTGAATGCAGTTCTGGTTCCCCTAGAGCCAGTGTCAAGAAAATCAATGTAGCTACTACCCAGTGTTAGTGGGAAAGGAGTTATTATTTACATAATCAATAGATCATTGTCAATTACAACCTGCAGAGTCTCCAATTCCCTCTGTACACATGTGGTTACACATGGCACATCACAAGATCACAAATTTGGTTTGGTTGAAGAAGGCCCTTTGACCCATCTGAAGTCGTCCTTCCAGAATACCCATCCTACCATCTTCCCATCACACTATCAAGCGTTTTCTTAAATGAATCTGGTGTACTAGCTTCAAAGACTCTTCCTGGCAATTTATTCCAGTTGTTAATTACCCTTTAGGTAAAGAAAAAAATTATACTTTTTGAACAAGGCAACTTAAGTTTAGAGTTGCAAAGGATATTAATCTTATGTTGCCTTGTTCACCTTTCGTGATGCATCCTAAAGTATTGTTCTGAGTTTACCTCCTGAGACATCTTCTTTCAAGATTGAAGAGTCTTAGGTAATCTATTCGTTGCTCATAACTCATTCGTCCAACACTAGGGATCATTCTCATTCTGAAAAATAAACTTGGTAATTGCCACTGCTTGGAATGTATAACCTTTATTTGCACCAGGAACCTGAATAACCTGTCAGCTAGAATATGACTGTGTTACTTTCTGGGATCATCCTCAATGCTCCCCTGTCCACTGCCTCTAGGGTCTGGAAAGCCTTGTTCTGTCTCGATGAGCGGAACTGGATGCAGTACTCTAGATGTGGCCTGACGACAGTAATACTGTACATTTGTTTAAACATATTTTATACATCTTGCATAATAGAATAATCCTTGTACTTGATGTAATCCCAGATCATATCATCGAAACATCTCATTTCGCTTCACTGGATTTTACTGCAAAGTGGGTGACTGTGTATTTGCAAGTGACTGAACCTCTGTGTGGCTCAGCGAGAAACCTAGTCAAAGACTCAGGCATCATTGCTATATATATTCTGAAAGGGCAGAGACAAACACAAGATGGGAATAAAACTGAGCTAAAAGCGACGGTGACGAACATAAAAGAGGCTCGAATTTCAGTTTTGATTCTGGAACTAATAAAAGCACAACTGACCCATTGCCCCAAACATTCCCTGCTAGAATCTCTGCAAACGCTACAATAAATATCAAGTGTTTGAGTTAAGAGTACAATTACTACCACACATGCATTTATGATATACCACTTCAAAAATAAATCCTAACTGAACTTCCTTTCTTTCTCTAGACTACCTGAAGATTTACTTCAGATTATATTGCATGCATCAATGGACATATCAATATTTCTGTAGGTGCTTTCAAGCCTCAGATAATTTGGTGCTTCCTTCTCAATGAAAATTGGATGTTGAGAAATAAAAAAAAAGCCTTTTATTTGGAAGGGAAAATACAGTCTGTTAAGCTATAAACTAAATTACAAGAGGAATGAATGATTGGACTAGACCATCTGAATGTAGACTGTCAGAGACATGTAATTTAGGGGTGAATGGTTCAATAGTATAAGTGGCTGAAACAATAGGTGAAGAATTACCATCAGATTAAGAAGGAACGCTGCTGAACATTTGGGCTATTTCTTCTGAGATGCCTCCATCATTTTCTAGAGCACTGTGTGAAATCCATTCATTGGCTCGTCATGAATATTTTATCCACTTATTGTATCAGCCACTCGATGTAACTCGAGGTGGAGCTTATATTTAGAATATATTGCCTTAGCTGATTTTTTTTCCTAGATGGTTAAAACTCGGTCAATGTGTGAACAATCAGTGGGCCTGACCAATTAACAGATGGCAAAGCTGTGAGCGTGTGATGTCCCATCAGACCCAAGAGTTGTTTTTCTACAGGGTATAACTCCAAGATCCAATGGGTGCTAAATCTGCACAATAAGCTGGTGTCATTCTTGCTCAGTTTGTAGCAAGCTTCCCACTGAATCATTCAAACCCAATATCAGGACTTTGAACTCATAGTCTAGGCTGATGCTCCAATGTAGTGCTGGGAGAGCATTGCATTGTTTCTTGCATTTGATATAGCGCTTTTCACATCGGGAGGACATCCCAAAGCGCTTCACAGAACACACTGTAAAGTGAATTGACTGTATATTTGTGGATGAACGCGGCAGCCAATTGCGCACAGCAATGTCCCACAAACAGTCGTAGATTGAAAATGACCAATTTATTATTGTTTTTGGTTTTGGAGGGATTATTATTAGGCGTGTGGAGTAAGGAAACTTGCCCAAGGTTTCGCCCTCTGCCTGGAATTGAACTCAGGTCTCTCGCTTGCAAAGCGAGTGCTCTACCCACTGAGCTACAGGACTCCTTTGGACAAGACATTAAACCTGTTCAGATGGACGTTAAAGATCTCATGGTATTATTTGAAAAGAGAAGAGGTTTCCCCTAGTAATCTGACTAATAACCCCCCAGATATAAAGCTGGCCATTCAGGTCTTGGTTATTTGTTGGGCATTCTCATGTGCAAAATGGCTGCCACATTTGCCTATAAATACAGTCACTACATCTTACAATAAATCCTGTAAAACACTTTGAGATATCCTCCTGACACTCACAGTTGCCATTTTCCTCCTCAGTGATGCCCATGAATCTAATACTATTTCTTACATTTGATAAAAGCACCTTATCACGTCTTTAGGACATCTCTAAGTGCTTCACAGAATATACTGTAAACTCCAGTGACTGTATATTTTGTTGGCGAAATGCAGCAGCCAATTGTGCACAGCAGTGTCCCACAAACAGTCGTAGCTTGAGTGACCAAATTATTATTATTATTTATTTTTTGAAGGGATTATTACCCCCAGAAAGCGATCCACCAATCAACTAACAACTGGGTTCCTACTTAATGCATGGTAAACAGAGAAGTGTGGAGTAAGGAAACTTGCCCAATGCTTCGTAAGAGAAGTTCTCTATTTCTTTAACTCGTATTTATGATTTGTGTATAAAACAGAGTTAATCATAATGCTTGCACCTTTTGCGACAAGAGGACAACTCAAATGGCTTCACAGCATTTACTGTAAAGTGTTGTGACTGTACATTTTGTAGGCAAATCTGGTACCCAATTTGCACACAGTAATGTCTGAAAAACAGCCATGAAGTAAATGACCAATTTTATTAGAGGGATTGGCCAAGACATCAGGATACAAGCAAATATGTAAAGTGGCTTAAAACTTCACAACTGCAGGTTTTATGGACATAAAGTGGTTTTGATTTACTTTTACCCCAGAGAACCATGTAACAGGTACAAATCACTTCTAGCGTAAAATTTGCTTTTAACACAAATAAACAAAGGTGCGCATCAACAGCAAATTAGCTCCCTTTTTCAATTTGCAGTCAATTACACCAATTAACCTACTCGCTACCCACTTCAGCCTCATCATATTTCCATTGCCTATAAAATTTTGAGATTAACATTTTAGATTTCATATTCCATGGTGACTGCTCAGCAAATCTTCCCTTTTCATTTCATGAGCAGCAGGTTTGAACGGCACAAGTTGCTAATCATCACTCTGTAATGTGCTTTACAGTTACCTGTGCATGAATGATGTCTCAACATGGTAATGTTGATATTAGCGTTGTTTTTTTAAGCTCAAATGTAAATAACCCATTATACCTTCAAAGAATTACAGTAAAACCTCACTGATCCGGTCACTCAAGTGACTGGGCAAGAATGACCTACTTAGTGAGGTGACCTGATTACTGAAACAGGTTGGGTGATTCAGGTCACTGCTGTAATCGTAAGGGCATTGGTAATGGACAAGGATGGTGAACATTCAACTACCATATTTTGCAATCTCATTAAAATAAAGGCATTGTTGTATTTAAAACAAAAGCTGTCATGTATTCAGCCTAGCTTTTGAGAATGCATCCAACTTGGGTTCTGCCAATGCCATAAATCAAATCTAACTGTCTATGACTTTTGCCCTCACTGTTTTTGATTAAGTCCACTGTCTAATGTTAGAACAACTCCTTCCGTGGTGGCATGTTTACAGCACTTACGAAGAATTGGCTGCAGGAGCTCAAGTTAGGCCGCAAGTGCCGGGCGAAGTTGTTTTTCCACTCGGCCGGCTTCCGCCATCCGAACACTCCCCGCACCACGCATGCGCGACCAGAGCCCACTTTGCCCACAGTAGCAGCATCAAGGAAACAGTGCGAGAAGCCCGAGGCCTAGGTCACTGTGTACTGTACAAGTTAGTAGCGGAGGTGGGTGTTTGTACCGCGTTTGTACCGGGGGAGGGCGATGTGGAGGCCGCAATTAAGGACCGCTGTCCTGAATCGTGAGGTGCCCGGTTTACTGAAGCAGGCGGCCTATCTTTCAACATTGACAATGATAGAGATAGTGAAAATTTACCTGCAGTTGTGAGGTGGCTGATTACCAAGGTGACCGCACGCACACCATATTGTACATGGAATGTTGCAGCACAGCCATCTAGCCCACATTGGACTTTATATGAACCGCCACCCTTCCTAATCCCCCTCTCCCGTACCACTTTATTCCCTTCTCCATTGCACTGATGTGGAACTTTTAAAATTAAATCAACAGCTAAACTCATGAAACCACAGAGAGCAGGCATTTGTTTCCAAATGAGGAAACCTAGAATGAATTTGCATCGATTCAAAAACTTACAATGATTTTCTGGGCTGGTGGAAATGAACAGATTCCTTTCAAGAAACTCTCCACCATTACTCCAAGCCAGTTCAAAGCCGCCCAATTCCACATGAAGTCGTGGCCACCGTGCCAGTAGTACACAAAGCTAAAGGCCATGGCTGACGAGAACATCATTCTGAGTGAGCCATGCCGTGAACCTCCCATTGGAATATAAATGTACCTGCAGGAACAAGAAAAGGGTTAAATAAAGTCAGATGTATAACATTTCAAATGGGATTGATAAATTAACCCAGATCAATACTTTAGGATGCAAGTGGAGTCCTGTAGCTCAGTGGCAAGAGCACTCGCCTCACAAGCGAGAGACCTGGGTTCAATTCGCAGCAGGCCGAAAAGTTGGGCAAGTTTCCTTACTTCACATGCCTCTAGTTACCTAGCATTAAATAAGAACCCAGTTGTTAGTCGATTGGTGGATCACTTTTCCGAGGGTAATGATTCCTCAAAAAAAATGGTTACTCAATCCACAACTGTTTGTGGACACTGCTGTGCTCAATTTGCTGCCGCGTTTCTCCCACAAAATATACAGTCAATTCACTTTACAGTATATTCCGTGAAGTGCTTTGAGATGTCATGAAGACGTGATAAGTCGCTATATCAAATAAAAAAATTATTATAAGTCACTTGAACTAGACAGCATAGATTTGTAAATTTGTAAGTCTGAACCTTATGTCCATGGATTTGATTCTAAACTCTAACCTGCAAACACTCTAAACTCTATAAATAGCAATCCTGCTCTACGATGCAGTCTTTCTTCACCTAAATGGAAAAGCAAGTGATTGTTTGTGGCATGTTAAATTGGGATTGGGGGTTAAGAAATTAATATTTTATATATACACGTCAGTTTTCTATTAAGACAGATAATGTAGTTCAATAAGTGCACATTTCAGCAGTCGCGTGAATGGCTCTCTGTGCATCAGTTTTTTTAAAAAAGTTAGCAACTTGTATTACCGTATAAGACATCAAATTGGTAGATTTTGAAAAGTATTTTTCCTACTTTGTACATTACATTGAACCAATTGACATGTAATTCATGTTTGAAAATCTTACAGCCTTTGCTATAGCAAGATAGATGAGATCCATTATTCAGCGGCAAGTTTCCAGTCCAAACGAAATGCAAAAGCTTTTAATCAAATACAACAACAAGATTGCATTTATAGAGCGCCTTTCACGTCGGAAGGACGGCCCAAGGCGCTGGACAGTTGGGTCGGAACCCGAGCAGGGGGGAAATGGTCAGGGTGAGGGGAGGGAAGGGAGGGAGCGAGGAGGGGGTAGAGAGTCGAGAGGGGAGCTGAAGGCATGATTGAAGAGAAAGGTCTTGAGACCGGCCTTGAAGGAGGAAAGGGAGGAAGCAAGGCGAAGGCAATGGGGGATGGAGTTCCAGTGTCTAGGGGCTGAGAGGCTGAAAGCCCGGCCACCGATGGTAGGGCGGTTGGGGCGGGGGATGTGGAGCAGACCGGAGCCATAGGAACAGAGGGTACGGGCAGGTACGTGGGAGGATAGTAGGTCAGAGAGGTAGAAGGGTGCAAGGCCGTGAATGGCCTTGTAGGTGAGGATGAGGATCTTGAATTCGATCAATACAGAAGTCTATCAAATTTATTGCACCAAGAAAACAGAATTCTATTCATAGTGCACCTTTGGCCGGAGAGGTGAATACAGTTGCCAATGGCAGACATCATATCATTAATTAAAAACACTTCCTGAAACCTCTGAGCATTGCATAACATTCTGTGGGATTCGTCTATTGTTTTTCATTTGTCTACTTAGGCATTCAATCCATGGCTATTAGCCGCTAACAACGTTTTCATCAAGTTTAATGTGTATTTGCAGGAAAACGCAAGAAAATTGTGCAGTTGCTACTACTGCATTAACTTCAAAGCAGCATACAGTGATCCTGTTCTCTTTGCTTTGGGAATTTTTAATCCCGCTCATGATGAATAATTTGTTTCATCCCAGCATCAGCCAGTTAATTTTGTTCTAACCTACTTTTTAAAGATGGTAAAGTGTCTGATGCTTCTCGTACACAACTACTTACTGCAGACAAGCAGCCATATAATGATCTAAAATAGATTGACGGTGACACTGCACTTTTCACCAAGTTTCTGTGGATTCTGCAGCATTGGCGGAGAACTGCACGCATTATAGCACCACGCAGCAAACAATACTCTATTCTTTGAGCTCATTCATATCAAAATACGCAATGAAAGCCAGAATAGTCGATACACTTGGGAAAATATAGTGTGATGTACGGTTTGTGCTCAGTATAGGGATGGGGGGGGAGAGGAGTGTTGTTGTGGCACTGGTAATTTCATTAGAAAGATAAAAATGACATAAACTGTATCTATCATTCTGAATCGCCAATATCCTCAGACTTGATAAAGCAGGAAAAAAATAAAAAGAGCAGAATTGAAAAGAAAGAACGCCAAAGCAAAGAAAATAAATGGCATTGTTATTTCACAGTTAGCAATGTAAAAAAAATGCATGAGGTAAGCATTACTGAACGGCTGAAGAAGAAAACAGCTATCCATTTCTTCCTATTTTTCCTTACACATCAAAGAGTTGTGCTGCCTCATGGCTTTTACAAGTACTTTCCTCTTGCTTTCTCCTTTACCAGGAGTGAACATTAAATTTGTTAAGAAAATGTCAGGAAAACATTAATTGGTAGAAATTCCTTTGTCTAGATTTACACGATTATCGTAGCATAATCGAAGCATTCAGAATTTGTCAAATGCTTAAAAACATTTGATTTTAATTTATCTTTAATTTTGAAACTGGTTGTTTATGTAAGCACATTTAAGAACCACATATAAGCCTCAAAAGGTAAAGCTGAAATCAACAGATTTGCCAGATTCTGCACTCTCGGAAATGTTGCGTTAATAAGAGTAAGTCTTGACATTGTATCTCTGTGGAATTGTACCCCACATATGCACAAATGAGCTAGAAAACACTGTGTACATGGAGGTTCATGTTCCACTTAATTCTATATGGGTTTCTTTGTGCTTCGTGCTACAATTACAACAAAATTCTTTACATTGATACAGTGTTTTTCGCACTGGGAGGACATCTCAAAATGCTTAACTAAGCTGACTGTTGCAGGGTACGGCAGAGAAAGAGATAACCAAAACTGCAGATAAAAAAATAGGTCTTAAGGAGGGCTTTAAATATGGAGAGGGAGGGGGCAAGGCGGAGGGACCTGGAATTGGTTCCAGATAGCGGAGACAAAATGGGACAGATTTGGGGTTGTGGGGTAGTGGTCAGGTGGGGATTATGAAGTCGGTCATTTTTAGCTGAGCGGGGGAATGGTAGATTTGAAGAAGACAAGGCATTATTTTTAAGGTATCTTGCTGTTCACCTCATTGAACCCATGACCTTGAATCCAGTCAATTACATGTGTTGATTTTGTTTGTGTTTGTGTGACTGAACATATTAACGAAGTGATGTTCGTCTATAATTCCGAAAATGCTGGGTTGAAGTTTTAATTAACATCCTGAACCCCATGCAGTCATTTGGGTAATTGTGGACTGAATAATCACATCCTGACTGCATCCAAATTTACAGAGTTAATTGGTGCAGTTCAAGCAACCATTGGCCATCAGTGGCAAATAATATTCTAAACAAAACTGCATTCAAGTGTTTGTTCTCCATTTGTTCTCCATGATCTGCAGTAATATTGTCAGAGGCGCAATACTTTAGAGGAAACGGTGAACCACGGACCCCTCTGCCTGGTCAGGTACAAGCTAAAGGTCCCATGGCACCATACAAAAAAGACAAGGGAGTTTCTCCTGGTGCCCTGGCCAACCATCCCCCAGATAAAATTGGAACTTTCACTTCATGGCTCTTTGTGGGGCATTTCTGTCTGCAAATTGGCTGTCATGTTCACCTACGAATAATAATAATAATAACCCTTGCATTTGATAATGCTCCTTATCACTTCTTCAGGACATCTCAAAGCGCTTCGCAAAATATACCTTAAAGTGAATTGACTGTATATTTTGTGGGCGAGATACACAGTGACTGCACGTTACAGTAAATGGAAAGCACTCAGATGCTTTGACAATGTGATAAGATGATATATCAAATTCAATTATCATCACCAAAATGGAACTCACAATGGTATTCAATTTCTGTATAATTTATGTGACTGTCCTCCCCGGGTACAAAGACTGATCATAAAACTATAGAGATTTACAGCACAGATCATCTACCTATTTGGATCATTTAATTCTCTTAAATTAAAGGGATTCTCCATAGACCGTAGGACTGAGTCTTATATAGATAACAAAACCTGGAGTCCTATAGCTCAGTGGTGAGAGCACTCTCTTTGCAAGCAAGAGACCTGGGATCGATTGCCGGCAGGGTGAAACCTTGGGCAAGTTTCCTTACCCCACATGCCTGATAATAATCCCTCAAGAAACAAAACAGTAATAAATTGGTCACTTCAATCCACGACTGTTTGTGGGACATTGCGGTGCGCAATTGGCTGCCGCATTTTGCCCACAAATATACAGTCAGTTCACTTGACAATCTATTCTGTGAATCACTTTGAGACGTCTAGAAGACGTGAAAAGCGCTATATCAAATGCAAGGATTATTGTTAAAACACTAGGGAGATGAATGAAAAGGTATATCTTCCTTTTAAGATGACTAAGACTTTCACAATATAAAAGTCAGGGCTTTTTAATGGTACTTACATTGGTTTTTACTGTTTTAATTTCTGGTTATTTCAATGACCTCCCTGCCAGAACATGCAGGTATTGACTAGATACTGTACTCTACACAGTGTGGGGGTCTTTGATTTGAACAATGAAAACCCAATAAGAAAAGTACAATAATATTACATTCTTCTTCATTCTCATCATCCTCCATGCAATGTAGGGGGAGCAAAAATTTGCGTGCCAAGCTCCCTCTCTTAGATCGTAATGTAGGTTTCTCCCAGTAGGAACCTAGACATATTTTATTCGTTGACACTTTTGCCCAAGGCACAGCTGTAAAATGAGCAGATGAACCCTTCTGAAGTAAGATGGGGATTCCTTCTGTAATTGTTAATAGTGCAGAATGCATTTGATTATCCGCATTCTTCTATCCACTTTGGTTAACAATTAGGTGAGGCTGGTGGAAAGCTCTTAAAATAAAGGAAATGTTTCACGATCTGTCCCGTGATTTGTC